TTCTCCTCCGTATTTTCTGGTGTCGGCGGCCTGTCAGACGTCTGCTAGCTTCAGTTTCGGTGGTGTCACCGCTGATGCCGATACCGGTGTCGGTGTCGGTGTCGGTGTCGGTGTCGGTGTCGGCGTCGGTTGGTGTCGGCCGGCTCCCGTTCCTGTCGCAGCTCGCGCGACAGGGAGCTCCGATTTCAGAGCGGGACTGTGCGCGGAGTACCGCCCCGTCCCCTGCGGCCGCCGCCGGCGCCGCCGCGTCACAGCAAGCATCGCGAATGTCGGTGGAGAGTGCTGTACGACAGGTGTGATAGCGAACGCGCCTAGTACGCCATCAAAATAAGCGTAAATAATATTTTCCGTTACTGAAAACCCTTACTGTGTCAGCGTAACAGCGATCTTCGTTCGTTCCACTCCTGGCTGTGTGAAGTCACCGCCAGTGCCGCTGGGGCCTCGTGATTTGTCGCTGCGGCGTCACATTACGGGCGGGGCCGGGCTCGGCGCAGTCCCATGCGGCGGTTGCGGGTGGCGGTGCGCTCTGGCGGACCGGCGCCAGACTGGCCCAGTGACTCACGCGTCAGTGAGACGCGCGGGGCCGCGCCCGGGGTGCGCCGACGGCCGTTTTTGCAGCTCTCCGCGCCGGCCCGTTGCCATGGTGGCGACTCGCCGGCGCCGCGCACGATCCGCGGCGGCGGCGGCGCCTCTCCGTGCGAAGTCTGCTGTGGAGGACGGGCGGCTCTCGGGCGGCGGTCGATCGCGTCATCTCGGCCCGGCCCGGCCCTCCGTCTGGCCTGGTCTGGTCTTTTATGGTCTGGTATGGTCTGGTCTGGACTGCTCTGGTCTGCTCTAGTCTGTTCTGATCCGATCTGATCTGATCTGATCTGATCTGATCTGATCTGATCTAATCTGGGCTGGGCTGGGCTGGGCTGGGCTGTCGTATACTCCGGTTCGCCTGCTGCGGCCGACATCGCGCGACGCGGTCGGCTGTGTTTGTGGTCCGATAGTACGCCGGCGCGACAGCCGGGTGGCCGCCTGCGGTCCGCCGCCGCGCCGGGTCGCCGAGCTCGCCTGCAGCTGGTGGCGGCCGGTGACCGGCGGCGGCGGCACCGACCCCAGACCGTTCCACCCGCCGACGGCACGGCCGGCGTGGCGTCCGTCGTCGGCCGTGCCGCACGCCGGCCGTCCGGACGGCGGCGAGCGGCCGGCGCCGCCGCCTGGCCGCCGCATCCATATGGAGAGGCCGAGGGCGCGCCCGGCGGATATTGCCTCTCGCAGAGGGTCTCCAGGTCACCGGCTGCTCACGGCTCGGCCGACCAGCCGGCGGCCGCGGTCTGTTTTGTCATGTTAATTGTGATGGCCGACTGGGCCGGCGCTCGTGTCGTCTTTGTTCGGCCGGCCGCGCGGTCGATCGATGGCTCGGCCGTGCAACCGGCGGCCGGACGCGCGCGCTCCCCCACAAAGAGCGGCGCGCCGGGCGCCGCGCCTTTTTGCGGGTTTTGCGCGCGAATCCATCCATTACGCCGCGCGCGGTGGCATGCGGCCTGCGACGGCGACCGACCCCGTGTCGCGCCGGCCCTAAGGGGTGTTTTTGCAGTGCGAAAAACGCCGTCCAGTGATTGGCGGGCGGTGTTGCAGGGGAGGGGGTGTCTCGGGAGGTGGCGACACCGTCTGCACGCGGCGCGGCCGTGAGGTCCGCCGGACGCCCATCCGGCTGCTCACGGCCTGCCTGCGGTCGCCGGTGGATTTGCCGATATTGCCGCCGCCGCGGCCGTTCTGGCGCGGCTGCCGCGTCTGCCCATGGCATGCGCGGTGTATGGGCCAGGCCCGGGCATGGACAGTTGGGCGCTTATACCGTTACCGACCCTTATGGCAGTTATACGCGCCGTTGGCGGGGCGCGTCTGGCTGTGTGCGCCGCGGTATCGGCGGCACTGCAGGTCGGGGGAGGGGAAAGGGGGAGGAGGCGGGGGCTGCCCATGGCTGACGGCTCCACCGGCCTCCCGGGGCGGCCGGCTGTCGCTGCCCGATGAGATCATCAGACGCAATGAGCGGGGGCCGGCGGGCTGACGCTAACGGAGGCTGGGCAGGACGGACGGTAACGGAGGCTGGGCAGGACGCTAACGGAGGCTAGGCATGACGCTAACGGGGACTGGACAGGGCGGACGGTAACGGAGGCTGGGCAGGACGCTAACGGAAGCTAGGCATGACGCTAACGGGAGCTGGGCAGGACGGACGGTAACGGAGGCTGGGCAGGACGCTAACGGAGGCTGGGCAGGACGCTAACGGAGGCTAGGCAGGACGCTAACGGAGGCTAGGCATGACGCTAACGGGGGCTGGGCAGGGCGCTAACGGAGGCTGGGCAGGACGGTATCGGGGTCTGGGCAGGACGGTCACGGAGGCTGGGCGGGAAAGTAAGGGAGGCTGGATGAGAAGGTAACGGAGGCTTTACAGAATGGCCACATAGACTGGATAGGACAGTAACGGAGGCTGGGCAGGAAGGTAACGGAGGCTGGACAGGACGGCAAAGGAGGCTGTGCTGGACGGCAGCGGAGGACGGACGGTGATGTGACAGGGGCTGGCTCTCGTGGCGACGGACGGTGGAAGTGGGACCTGACCTCCGGGGCGGTTTTGGGCGGGTTCGGTTCGGTGCCCCGGGCGGTGCTGTCACAGGTTTTTAATGTAGCCGTTCGAATACTTTCTTTATGACATTCAGGGCACGCGCCCGAAATTGTCATCAGGGTTAGGCCAATTTCAAATTTTGTTGTCCAACTTCCCCGAACGCCTGCGAATTCGGACCGAATCCCCGCGAAATCGCCTGACGCCTTGTGCTTACCTCCTGGCGCTCAGAGGTGGAGAGGGGCAGGGCTCCCGTGCCCTACCCCCTTGGCTACGTTCCTGATGTCATTCACCATGTTTTGTGGACGGATTGTCTTGGCGTTCAAACTCCACAGGACGTCAAAAGACGGCCGCCTGGTGTCTCGGCTGAGGACCGCCTGTCGCCGGTGGCGACCGTCGCATCTGCCGCCGGCGGTCGTTCCCGGCCGGCGGCACGGGCTTGTCCTAGGCCCCAGCTGCTCGGCACGGCGCCTGTGTGTGCACGCGTGCAGCTGGCTAGCGCTCTGACTGGTTGGCGGTCGCTGAATGACACGCCTCGCGACAGACAGAACAAAAAAGTGGATGTCGGAAAGCGTGTTGTAGCAACATGTAATTTTACCATTGAGCGGTACGTGGTTGGACTTGCTGCGCGATCACAATGGACTTGTCGGACCCAACAGGAACTGATTGCGGCGTATAATGAGCCGTGTCCGCTGCGCGCCCCGCAGCTCCTAGAATCAAGCCAGGCGTGTGGTGGCGCGGGACGAACATTTGTTCACAGGTTGGCAGAACACCGCTGGAGCCTGTGGACCGACGGTTGGGGTTGGGGGATTGGGGGGGGGGGGGGGGGCTGGGGATGATGTATCCGGTGATTGTTGGAGACCACCTGGTAACTAAAGGGGAAGTAAATTTGCTTACGACAGAGGACACGTGCCGCTCAAAAATGCGTCGTGCAATGTGAAATGCAACGCGCGGCGCCAAGCCTATGGGAGAATCGTTGAGTTTTGACTACAGAATGCCTATAGCATCATATTCAAAGATGAACCGACACGTAACATGACATAAATGGACTTAAGTATGGTGACGGAAATTACCGTTTTAAGAGGAAATAGCCGGGCGGACATTCGGCTTGACTAAATCGGTGAGGCTTAAATGACCACAGCCTTGCTAAACATCAGTTTAGTTGCCTTAAATCAAAAGCATGAAGTCGGCATAACTGAGGCCCGTGACTGAAAGAAGGGCCGGGCAGAAGGTCACGTTCATGTAGCGACTCCCATTTCAAGAAGCGAATTATGCACGAGGGAAAGAATTCGTTCAGGATTTCTTCTTCAGTGAGTTAACCCCGTTTACGATTCTGTAAATGTCCCGGGCGTCATGTCTGGCGGCGTTGGCACGCTCGTGCCAGCCGGCGCGCGGCGCCAGCGTGCCACGTGTGTGCCCGGGGGTCGGCGCTCCGTCAGAGCAGGCGCCACGTGGCTCCCGCCGGAGGCACGGCTGCGGCCGCGTCTGGGCGTGCACGCCCTCGCTCATCGCCGGCGCAAGTGGTGACCGAACGGCTGGGGCAGGCTTGAGCTGGTCAGACCAGAGCGGGGGCCGACTGTGCTGTCGCAAGCGGGTAGCAAACACGCCAGTCATACTGTTCACGCGAAGTATTGTAGTGGTCTTGGAGGCGTACTGGACGGCCCCTACTTAACACCAGATGTCGTGCTTTGCGATTTACCTGAACGCGTACGTACTGGTCAAATCATACCTCTCACCAGACTTATTACAAATATTTTCGACGCGCACTGTGTAAATAGCGGTCGCATAATGGAACGGTTTGTTTTATGGGTGACGTCACAGTGCGTTGAGATTTAACCGAATTAGAATTAACGTTAAACGGTAACATTTTTAAGTGATCTGTGATCGCTATCGACTTAATATAGAATACAGCCGTTCTGGCTCAGATTTATCAGTCCAATATCCGCCCTTTTTAACTCATCTTTTTATCAGAGGGTCAGATAACAGTCATCCAACGCAATGAATTGACATGTCTTTTAGGCTATCAACGTTTCGTGACAAGTCTTCCGTACCTGGAATTACCATTCTGACTAATCGCTGCCTCAGATAACACCACGCAATACGTGTCATGGGGAAAAAAGCGCTAGTCGATGTGCCTTGTCGTCTTCTGTTGCATCAGCATTTTTCATCAGTATTTTTGTCGTGTCGTTTGTTCGTCAAAGCAGTTGTTCCAGGGCGTATCTAATCGATATTGCACTGTGACGTTTATTGACAGGGCGTTGACTGTGATTGAGTTTGTTTGCGCCGTAGCATCCGAGTTGCTGACGACACCCGAGGCGCGAGCGAGCATCCTTGGCGTCGTGTGACCGGCCGCTGCTCTGCGCACCCGCTGACCGTTGACCTCCCCGTGCCGCCGCAGGGTCGGTGTAACCGCGAGAAGCCGCCATGCAAGTACTTCCACCCGCCGCAGCACCTCAAGGAGCAGCTGCTCATCAACGGCAGGAACAACCTGGCCATCAAGAACGCTTTGATGCAGCAGTTCGCGGCCGGCAGCATCCCCATGCCGGGCACCGTGCCGGTGAGTGTACGTTACTTCTGGACCGGGCCGGGGGGGGGGGGGGGGCTGTGACGCCGGGCAGCGGCGCGCTGACCCCGACCCTGGCTCAGGACCTCGTCGGGCTGACAGCCCGCTGTCCCAGACACGCAGGGCGCCTGTCGAGGCTGGGAGCCGGCCGCCCCTCCCCCTCCCCCTCTCGCCGCCGCTCTGGTCCGTCCCCTAGTCTAGGGAGCGCACGCCGCGGGGAGCGGCCGTGACTCGCCGCGCATGCGCAGCAGGGGCCGGCGTGGCCCGGTGCCGTGTGCTAGCCGTAGCCGTCCGCCTATACTAACCGATGGCGGCGCCCGGCCGCGGCCCGCTCACGGTGTCGCGGTGGCGCCGCCGGGCGCCGCCTGCATGGCTGCGGTGTGGGAGCGGGCGGGCCTGGGGACCCAGCCGGCGGGACGGCGGGCGAGCCCGGCCGCCAGCTGACCTCAGAGCCGACTGGCGTCTCACCACGCGCAGTGACGTGACGCCCAACGTGGTGGTCCTGGGGGGAGGGGGGTCTGGCTCTAAGTCAGAATTTTTATTTTGAAATCTGAGTTCGATGGGAACAAGGTACATAATCTGCGATGCTTTGTCATCGAAAGATTATCTATTGCAGTGTATGATATCACATTAGTAGTTTTGGTGATAAGCCATCGAAAGTGAGCTGCAGGGAAAGATCACTCTAACCTAAAATCCTCTTTTTCCTCTCTCGTATCATGTTATCTCCGATGAGAACATATGGTCGAAGGTTCAAAAACGACGTATGTAATTCGGGAATGTTTGTAGGTGGTTTGGCACTTGTACGCGGTTTTAGATATTATTGCGCTTTAAATATTGTTAGAGTTTGATCCGTCCGAAATTGCAGATTCGGTGCGTGGTGTCTCAAAAAGTTGACCTGGGATCGCTCATGAGTCACTCGGGTTTGAAATTCTGCAGCGATATTAAAACCACCACACAGCCGGTGAGTCACATTGCCATCGAAATCTGAGCGACGAAGTTCGTCTTTTCATGGATTGAACTTGGGTGGAACTATTAAAAAGTTCACGATTGTGTTACAAATAAACCATTTTGCCGCGTGATATGGGTGACGTTTGTCGTCAATTGCTAACGGAAAGACCATTTGTTGCCTGAAAGCTGCACACGTTCGAAGTGTGAAGATGATTGATGTTTTCAGTGCACATTGAACCGTATGTGACTGTTAACGACAGTCGCTCTCTTAGTACTTACACATCACCCAATGCCTGTAACCTTTGGTGTGGCGTGTAAAATGTCAAAAACTCGGTCACCTTTTAGTTGGTCTTACTGAAGACTGAGTGATAGGTCGAAAGCTCGCGACAAAACTCTGGACAGTCGTTGTCAGTATCTTCGCTCGAATCGAGGGATGAGGGTGCCACTTTTTCGTCTCGTCCCCTGTCTTGTCTTGTTTTGTGGCGATGTGGTGAACGGAAATACTCTGCGAAAATACGTGGTTAATGGAATAAAAATACGTGGAAAATACGTGGAAAATACGGCCTTCAGTTTGCCGGAAGTGTCTTGACATGTAGCTGAAAACCAGAACAGTACCTGTGATATTCATTCTTCAGGAAGAGAGATGCCACGTGAGTTTTCCCTTACCGAGCTCCGTTCGGCAGCGCCATAGGCAGTGGCTGGGAACCGGTGGTACATAAAACCCTGACAGCAAAAGCACGGGCATACACATGCACCCAGCAGGAGTATGAAGTTTTCACTAGACGCTGAAAGTTTCGGTACTAGATTACCGCAAGCGGTCGAAAATTCATGGTTGTGACACAGTCAGCTGCTGGACGCACAGCTGCGGCCGGAGAGCGACATAGTGGCCGTGCGAAGCGTAGGACAACTCCAGAGCGCTGTCCCGGCCAGTCAAGCTGAGTTAGCAGTGGCATTTCCGGGCGTGCGCTTCCGGGTGGCCGTTTTGATAGCGGGGAGTATTCGGAGCGCGGGGCAGCCGAGCCAGGAGCCTCCATTCGGCGCGTGCAGCCCGCGTGGCGTGCGCCACCAGCCCCGCTGTCGCTGCAGAGGGGAGTGTGGGACGGCGGTGGGGGGGGGGGGGGGGGGGAGGTGGGAGAGGAACGGCGCCTGATCCCGGGTCCAGAGGGCCGCGGGGGGTGGCGCCGGAGGGCCGGCGGCTCCAGATAGTCATGCGGTTAGTGGCGGCTGTGGCCATGATGGATGCCGACACTGGTCACCACCGCCGCCGCCGCCCGCTGCCGTCCACCGCCCGCCGGACGCTGAACGCTGGACGCAGCCCGCCGGACGCCGGACGCCGGACGCTGGGCGCCGGACTCTGGACTCTGGACTCTGGGCTCCGGGCGCGGTCCGCGTCCAGCGCTGCCACTGGTCCTGACCCGCTCCTCCTTGGCCCGCTGCCCGTGTGTGTCGCGCTGCTGGCCTGTGGCTTCCTGTACGGCGTGTGCTCTGACTAGTTGTCGGCTGGTTGTTGTGGGTCGCTCGGTGTGTGGTCGAACGCTCAGAGAGTGCTCTGTCTCTTTCCGGTCAGGTGAACGGTGCAGGGCAGATGGTTTTGGCCTATACTCCTGGCGCCGAGGTAATCGCTTCCCGCTCTCCCGTCACGCAGTGGTCTGGGCAGAGACGAGGCCGCCAAAGCTGTCGCCTTGGCTGTCTTGTCGCGATGCTAGATGATCGCTGCGTTTGCTTAGCTTGCGGCATGGCCTTGCTAGCCCGTTGGTGGCAGCAGCGTGGCCATGTGGCCTAGTGGACAGCGTCGCCACGTGCAGGCTGATCTACATGGACGGCATGACGATGAATGGTCCAGCGCGCGACGTGGCCATGCTACTGCTGTCGCGACGGACACCGTGGGCCCCGGCCGGCCAAGTGGGCGGCGTGCATGGAGGCTCCCGCCGGTCGCGTGCGGACGCTCTGCCGCCAGGTTCAGCCCGCCTGGCGACTCGTGACCGTGACAGCGGCCGTGCTGCTGGCCGGCCTGGCGGCGCCCTCCGCCTCGTGCTCGTGCTTCGGGGCGAACGTCAACCCCTGCCGGGGACGGACGGCGGCGCCGTGCCGGGGCGGTGCGAGCCGCGCGGTGCCGCCCGGCCGGACAGTCGGGAGGGAGGGGGAGGGGGAGCCTCAGCTGTCACCACCGGCGACCGCAGACCCGCCACGCGCCCGTTCCCCGCGCTGCATGTCGGTCGTAGCTAGGATATTGGCTGCGCAGTTGGTGTCGCTTGCGTGTCGACTTGCGTTGGCCGCGCCGGGCCGGCTCCGTCCGGGCTGCCGCGCTGACGGGCCGGCCTGGGCGGCAGGCCGACTCGAGGCCGCCCCTGCCCGCTCTGGCGCCTCGGTACTCCGCCCCTCTGCCCCAGCCGCGGCGGCGCGACCGGTCGACTGGGAGGTGGGGCGGTGCAGACCTATCCGTCGAGTGGTTCGCGCCGGCCGTCGGGCGCCCGCTGGAAGGAGCCTGCCTCGTCCCCAGCCTCCCGCTCTCCGCCTCCCCCACCCCCTCGCCCTGCCCTGCCCAGAGAGCTCAAGTCGCGCTCGACCGCTCTAGCTTTCATATGTGACGTGATTGGACGACGCTGTGCCGCTTTCTTTCCCCGTGATGAAGCCCACTATCGTTCCCACTAGAAAAGGCGCAGATGGAAACGTGTGGCCCCTGGTGGTGAGCGACCCAATCAGTGTTTGCGCTTTCTGCCGATAGATGACGTCACCGACGGCGCCAATGTACAATCTGCCGCCCAGCATGACACAATTCTACCCGGCGGCTCCCACCCAGGCGGTGGGTGAGGCGGGCATGGTGGCGCCATTGGCCATGCCGCAGCTGCAGCAGAAGATGCAGCGCTCGGACCGGCTAGAGGTCAGTCGGCGGGTGCCGCGGTGCTGAGCGTTGGTCGCGCTGGTCGAGGGGCTGGGCGTGTGTCGAGTGCTGCGCTCTGTTTCACAGGCTGGCGGGACGCGTGCTGCGGGCGTGTGCAGTGGATATGCATATATACATATGTAGAGACAGGCTGACTCGGTCGTCTGTCTAGCGCGCGTGCGCCCTCTCTGTCTTTCTTTCTTTCTCTCATTCTGTGCGGCTCTCCGCTCTCGCTCTGGCTCTTTGTGGGTGTGCGTGTGTGTCTGTCTGTCTGTCTGTCTGTCCGTCTGTCCGTTTGTCCGTGGTCCGGCCCGAGCTCGAGGCCGTGTTGTGTTCTGGAGCGAGCTATGCCACAATGCTTCTGGCCAGCCACTGGCACTGGGCCGCCGTAGGAGAGCACAGCGCTTTGAGCCGGCTCACTCTGTTGGTGCGGAGTCACCCTGCAGCTCACCCTGCAGCCCTGTCACCTACTCTGCCGCCGCCGCCGCCGCCGCCGCCGCGCCGCCGCCGCCGCGCCGCTAAGTCAGTGTGCCCCCAGCTCCGCTGTCCCGTGCCGCCGCAGCGGGCGGCCGACCGGTCCCCGAGGATCGCTGCCGCCGCCGCTGCCGCCGCTGCCGCCGCAGCCACTCCCGCCGCCTAGAGCAGCTTGGTTACCGGGTCCCTGCCTCTCGCGACACGGCCCTTTCCCTCCCCCACGCCCACGCCCTCCCCCACCCAGCCCTCTCGGACGGCGTCTGTCGGCGCCGGCGTTGGAGCCGGATGCGGACGCCGCCTCTGCCCAACATGCGGCGGGTCACGTCGGTCGTCGCCACGACCGGCGGGGGCTGGACGATTGCGGTTGCAATGGAACAAACGCGGCCTGCCGATTCCTCTGGCGCTTTGGTTCGGTGTGACGCAGCAGCTGGCGAAGAGCGTGATGCTGTCGCCGCCACGGCGTCTGGGTTCTGATGGCCCGAGACCTCAGTTAGCCCCCCCCCCCCGTCATGCACCCCTCTTTTCGTGGGTCCTGATGGCTCGCCTGAGAACCGACGAGCCCTCCAGCTTCGACCCGGGCCGCTCCTGGCCAGCCGAGCGTGGAGCGTGGCAGTCTGCCGGTCCGAACCCACCTCAGCCCGCCGGGACCACCCGCCGTGCTGTCCGGTCCCGTCCACGGCTGCGCGCCGGCCGACCTGCCCCTGTCCTGCCGCGCGCCTGGCGCCCGGTCCCGAGCGGCGCTCAGGCGGGCGCCGCCTCCGCCGCCGCCGCCGCTGAGTCGCCCTGTGCTCTCGCTGTCGTTGCAGGTGTGTCGCGAGTTTCAGCGCGGGGCGTGCAAGCGCGCCGAGCAGGAGTGCCGGTACGCCCACCCGCCGGACCAAGTGGCGGTGGACGACGGACAGGTCACTGTGTGCATGGACGCGGTCAAAGGGCGGTGCGGCCGCGAGCCGTGCCGCTACTTCCACCCCCCCTCCCACCTGCAGGCGCAGCTGCGCGCCCCGCGAGCTTCCCCCGCACTGGTAGGCACCCGCCCGCATGATATCACGTGCCAGTCGTCCTAACTCACTCGCTGTTGGTCGGCCGTCTCTATCTATTTTTTCTCTCTCGCTCGCTCGCGCCCCCTGGCGCCATGCCGTGCCCGCGCTGTGCCGGCTCATGGCCGTCGCCCTATCTCTCTCTCTCTCTCTCTCTCGCCCTCACTCTCACTCTATCTCTCTCTCTCGCTGTGTAGAGTCTCCGTTTACGCAGTCAGTCAGCCAGACCGGGATGGTATCCATCGACATGTCGCGGCTAACGCTGGGGCAATATCGGTGCGATCTATCGCGGTCGGTCTCGGCTTAAGTGCAGCGCTGGGGCTGGACGGATCCTGGTGCGCGCACATTCTTGTTGCTCGGCGTGGGTTGTATGGGTCTCTCAAGTTTGGAGGGACACGCATGTGTGGTGCCTCAGCACACACGCGTATTTCCCAGATTTGACAAATCCGTTCGACTTCCGCCGGCAGTAGTGCGAAACATGTCTCGTGCGCGCGCGGGTCCGTCCAGCGTTAGTGTTGTTAAGAGTCAATTTCTTTTCACGTTATTTCATGTTCACACTGTTATAGTAGACTCAACATGTGCTTTCTGTCTCACTAAATGGCCACTATTCCGTTCCCTCATCGTACCATTTTTTTCCTCCGCGTGCATTTTTCAATTTTGTAAACCGTCATACCGTACCAGGGTCCTGTCCCCCCCCCCCCTCTCTCCTA